GTTCATAAATAGAAGCAGTTCGGGACAAGTGCCTAAATTGTGATAGCAATAAAACGGATAAAACGGGCGTATCAATTACGTTTAATCTCGAGGATAAAAGTGGACAGCAACCATGCATGCAGCAAATGATACGCACACAGCAATAAACAGAAGTACAAAAGAAATATAATCTTAGTACGGTTGTTGTAAATTACTGCCACCGGGATAATTAGAATAATTGGTTTTCGGCACAATTAACTACAAACGTAGAATACGAATGCAATATTAATTAGCATGTATGTGACATATCATTAACATAATATACGACAGCATCAATATCAACTTCAGGCGATTAACACTGATACATAAACATTTTAGGATAAATATGATAAATTATTTCACTTTTAGCACAATCATTTCGGATGATGGACTGATACACACGTACGTACGAGCTATAGAGATCGCGCGCAGAGACAGTGATATAATATATATATATATATATACAAAACATTATGCAAAACTCTACTTCATCCCCTCCCGTCATCCTACTTGCCTCACTTGCCCCTCGCTTAGGCTCTTTCTTCTTCTACCACCACTCAACTATTTATATACGGCTCTGTCGCTGATATTAACAATTCGCGTGCACAATCTGGCTACGTTAATTTGTTAGCGCATGCGCAATATCTCACCAGAGGAGTTATATTTTGTGACGAATGTGCATTTAATATGGTTAGGGGGTATATCAGGCTCTCAGCATAGATTTATGTAATAATCTCTCATCAGTAGACATGTTGTTTAATTAGTAGAGCCACCCTATCCTGTAGTGGCAAAAACTCCTAATTTCATTCCCCTCCCTCCTCCCCTTGCGCTTCCTTGGTCCTCGCTCAACCTCCTTCTGCGTCTACCGCCCCTCAGTTATCTACCCTGCTGCCTTTCCTCAGTCCTCACCAGTGGCGGCGCCAAGGGGGGCATGGGGCCATTTGACGGGAAAAATTCCGCCTTTCTTATTCAATTTCCGCCACTACGATTTTCCCCTTTTATTTTTCGCGCAAACAGCAATTTCCGTTGATAGCCTTTATTTAAAACACTAGAGTTTGCAAAGCATGTTGATTTCAACATTGATACCGTGTGCAATGTATTAACCCTTCGGTGCGGGTAACGGCCACGGCCGCGCGATTGTGCATGGACTAAATCTTGATATGTGAGGTGATGTATTATACGTTAAATATTCTCTCATAATTACGTGGCATATTTTCAAGAGCGCTATAAAGCAGGACGTAAAAGTTAGAATAAAGAGAGGAGCTTTCCAACAGAAAAGCAGAGAATCACCGAGTGGTCTCGAGATGTGAATATGGATTATAGATTGTCTTGTCGTATTAGTGCTATTGCATTTGACTGTGTTAAACCTCTTTGAGATAAGGTCGTCTATGTCTTTAAACTCTATTGAGATAAGTCGGCTATGTTTAAACTCTATAGATAAGTACTCTGTGTTAAACTCTATTGAGATCAGTACCTAAATTCTATGTTATACGTGTACGTATCGTGACATTTTGCCGTAGAGGTTTATAACGTTTCTCTGTACTACCATAATCATAAATAAAACCATTTGTGTACGTTACACTCTGTGTTTGTCATACGTTCTTAATGTGTCTGTTCTATTAGAATATGCGTTTACAGGAATAGCCCGCAGGGCCTGTATCGGTCTAATTAATACATCAAACCTCAAATTTTTGTTCATAGTCCCTCGCGATGTTAAATGATTCTAAATTGGGTATTGGTCGTGTATTGTAGCCTAGATATTATGAGTATACGTGGAAGGTAAAATTTCCATTGTATACATTTACATGATGTGATCAGAATCATTTAGACATTACATCATAACTATGTGACTTAGTTTAGGTAGTCATATTGCAGGTGGGACCAATGCCTGTCAATTTTGTTTTTGAATTCATTTATCGTTTTTGATATTGACAATTTCTTCGGGCAGGGAGTTCCAATCGCTAGACGTTCTAAAGCCTAAATGATTCTTTTTGAGTGTATGATCTACTTGTCGTTTATACAGTTCAGGCTATTTATCTGAGACCTTGTGTGTTGGCTGTCTAATTTTAGCCACGTATTGTGGTCGTCGTATTTTCATGTAATCGCTTCCAGACCTCGATCATGTCACCCCGTTCTTCTTCTGAAAAGGTGATGGTAAATTTAACAGGCGTAGCCTTTTATCATACGACAGATTTGTTAACCGGGTACTGTTTGGTGGCATTTCGTTGTACGCTCTCGATTTTCTTAGTGGAGACCGATCTCGTCTGAAATGGGGCCCATACCGTGTTAGCCGTATTCATTATGGTCTTACCATGGGATTTGAACAGTAATCTAAATATATCTTTTGACATGTAATGGAAGGTGCGCATGATTATGCCGACTATGCCCTTTGCTGCGCACACTTTCGTATTTATATGGTCTTCAAAGGTGAGGCGTTTGTCCGTGATAATACCGAGATCCTGCTGTTGCTCAACGAATTCCAGAACCGACACTGTGTTGGCTTCCCCTCTCATTTTGTAGCTATAGTCAGCGTGACCTGTTCCTAGTCTGAGTACTTTACATTTTTTAGGATGGAATTTCATCTGCCATGTACGTGCCCATTTCTAACCTATCCACATCTTCTTGAATGTTCTTGACACGCTTCTACGGCTACTAGCTTGCCATATAGTTTTGTGTCCTCAGCGAATAGGCGGATTTTGTTGTGTATACCGCAACTGGAAGGTCATTTATGAATAAAATAAATAGTGCTGGGCCGAGTACACTGCCTTGAGGCACGCCACTTGTTACTGTAATTGGTGTGGAAACCTCACCATTTATCACCACCCTCTGTTCTCTGTTGCTAAGGTATTTTTTAATCCAGCAAAGTGTGTTACCTCTGATCCCCAGGGATTCTAACTTACTGGTTAGGAGTCTTGTGGCACCTTGTCAAACGCTTTCTGAAAGTCAAAGTATACAATATCTATGGGCTCTTTCTTCTCCAATGAGTCAGTCCATTCTTCCAGAACAACCATCATCTGAGAGCTGCATGATCGGCTTTTTCTGAACCCGTATTGCTCCGCTGCGAGTAGGTTCTCGGCAGTCATATGATTAATGATGACTTCGGCGATCATTCCTTCCAACAGTTTGCATAAAATGCAGGTCAGGCTCACCGGCCTGTAATTTTCTGGCAGCTTTTTGCTCCCTTTCTTAAATATTGGCGTCACGTGTGCCATATGCCACATATGAGGGACTTCGCCCCGATTCGAGTGATTTCTTAAATATTACTGTGACCACTGGGCCCAATCACCTCTGCTAGCTCCTTTAGGATGCGAGGATGGATGTTATCTGGACCTGGTGATTTGTTTGCATCTAGTGCTTTTAGTCTTTTGGCCACACATCGTTAACATCTATGTGGACATCGGGGGCTGTCTTGTCATGTTGATTAATTACTGGCATATTTGAAGTATCCTCCATAGTAAATACGCTACCAAAGTATTCATTTAGTAACTGGGCTTTTTCTAAGTCAGTGATGGCATTTTTGTCTTTAGTTTTCAGTATCGGTATTGTATTTTTTGCTTTCATCTTGCTGTTCGCCAGTTTGAAGAAGTTTTTAGGATTGGATTTGTATTCCATCGCAACTTTTTTCTCGAAGGTCCTCTCGGCAGCACGTAAGCTGCACGCCATCCTCACGGCAGCTTGTATTAATCGTGTGCACCTAAGGGTCTAACGCCCGTACCACACAGGGGCGTGTACCAGGGGGGGGGGGCTCTCAAGTTTGGGTTACGGTTGGACCCCCCCCCCCCCTGTACAAATCCGCTACACGCCCCTGCCACAAGCAGAACCTGGAACCTATATCGATACGAGCCTCATTACAACTGGTCTAGAGACTGATACTGTGCGTCATGAGCGTTGTATGTCACTTGTAATTGTGTGTACGCGCCACTTAATCTCTATAATATAATCTTACATATATATATTTTAGATTTTTAGATTATACATCCTTATTTATGATCTTATTATTAGATTATATATTATAGAGATCAGTGGTACGCGCCCGTGTCAATAACACTAATTTTAGACTGAGAGAAAATTATAAGTAAAGTAAATTAGTATAAATAAATAAACGTTAGAAGCCGCATATTCAACATCCTATTTCATACTTATTTTATTACATTTTAATATTAAAATTTGGATGATGAAGCACATTTTCTGGGTTAGTTTATTTTTTAAGCTATAGATGGCAGGGCAAAACAAGCGAATAGTTGACCGGCGCAATGTCTGAAATGAACGAGCAGGTAATGTCTCATTGTGTAGTATTTTTTTGTTTTAACCGTTTGCGTGAATCATACACGTGATTATGACAGACATACACAGTATGTATTATATCGTTGTGCTAGCAAGGCGTATATGATTATCTCCCAGAGTACTATCATGTGTAATATATCATACTAAAACTAGCTGAGCGACGTCTACGGTCTAGCTGTGCGGGACCGCGTTAAACAATGCGCTTTCCACATTACATTTGCTAGTACTACTACTAGTACTAGTAGTACTACTACTAGTACTAGTAGGCCCAGGGAAAAAATATCATTTTTTTCACGGGAGCTCTTTTTCAAAAGTCTGTGGAAAAAATAGCTCTCATCCAAAGTTTTACAGATACAAGTGCTACTTTGAGCCTCACGAGAGCGATTTCGGAGGTTTGAAATTGAAGAGCGAATCGGTTATCGCTCCCGTGTATTTTTTACCCTGTAAGACCTACTAGCAGGGGCATAGCTAGGGTGAAAGGGATGTTTATGCACACAGGCGGGGGTGTGGGCATCCTCCCCCAGAAAATTTTGAAAATGTAGATCGCAGGAGATGCCAGATGGTATTTGAGGCACTTTTGAGTAAATGTATACAGCCTTCATTCTGACTACGATAATTATCTTTTTAGTAGAACTATTTTCTTGATGAGCAACAAGATGTGATCACTAAAGATCACTATAACTAATCATGTAATTTTCGTTTTATTATCAAGACATGTTGAACTAACGCACATTCTTAAACTATCTCTTTCTCTCTCTCCCTCTGTCCGCCCTCTTCGTCGAAAGTTTGGATGCCGCGCAGCGAAATCGGAATGAAATCTAAATCGGAATTGTACATTTCAATCGATGACGTAACTGATACAGTGGCGCGCCGTGTGGATGTTATTTGTTTATAAACAATTTAGTCTGACTGACTGACTCTCTCTCTCTCGCTCTCTCTCTCTCTCTC